TACAGTATTTTTACAGTCTTTATTTTACAGTTAAAATAAATGTTTATCAAATAAAGTCTAATGTTACAACTAATCGGGGATCCCTTTAAATAAAGGCATTTGTAGAGAGAAAAAAATGTTCTTTTGATTTCTTAGTTACTGTGTCATGTAAATTTTTGACCACACTGGAAACAAATATTTTCATGTCATTGGAGCAAAGCTGCGTGTGGGTGACTATATATTGGTTTAATTGTTGATAAACTCTGATGTTTAGGCCCATTGCTCGGATGGTTTTTGAATAGTCGGAACCTAAATCTCATTGATTTGTAGATTTATTGGTGCCTCTGAACAACTATTAGAACACTGTGGTGGTCTTTTTTTTCTGCGTTGGTGGTTTATATTGAAAGAGGAAGAGGACTGGTTAAATTTGAAGCAGAAACCTTGTGTGGTTGACTTCATGGCTTCCTCAGGAAACATGGCGTTGACTTTAAGGGACCTTAGGCCACCACTGTTTCTGGTCTGGCACCAGATGAGTGTGCAGAAACAAAGTGGTAATAATCTCTACATCTAATAATGATTGTTATCTGATGAAATGACCTAAAATGGGGCTAAAATCCAGACAGAGTTCAGGTTCTGTTGTCACTTAAAGCACGTGTCTGATTCTGGGGTCTTTTATAGGAAACTTTAAAGACCATTAAATGAAAGAAAAATAAGTTTTTGGCTCGATTAGAGAAGTTTTAACTGAATAAATGTTGAGCTTAAGCTTTGCCTTATCAGTACTTCCATCAGCTGATGCGTAAAATCACATAAAACCTTTCGTTTTGCTCTTTGAAAAGACTGCAGCAGCCCTGACTGACAGTGGCGGGTTTGTCCCCCCAGGTGTTGTCCGAGGCCATTAGCACACCTGGTGAGGAATGAGGAGCAGATCTCTGATGAGCTGCGACTGTGGCCTCACTCTTTGTTTCTGTCACCGGACGGAGAGCCGGGGCCCCTGTCAGCCAGTGTCACCACATGATGGGCCCTGATACCAGGGGGGAAATTCAAAGTGTCTGTCCGGTCACTTTCTGCTTCCTGTTTGTTGTGGTCTGTGGGGTGACAGCGCCTCAGCTGTGGACCTGCACCAGGTCGTCCTCAGCGACCCCCTTTCAGCTCTGCTTCAACCGTACGGCACTTTAATCAGGTTTTAATTTCTCACATAAAATTATAATTCACGTGAGAAAAATGAGATAATCCACATGTTTGTACGTGTCAGGGGTCATAACGTTTGTGTTTAAAGTTTCCTCTCAGTGCTGTTATCGATCACGATGTGGTGACAAAAACACGTTTTGTATCGACGTATTGTCAGCGGGTCAGAACCTCCACACACGACTCAGCCGGTGTCTGTTCTGGTTTAAAGCCTGCGCCGTGAAATATGACATAAAGTTGATCAAATCATTATGACAAGGGGTAAAATTTAAATTTCTTTAAAGATGAACATCTTTTACCAGCTGAGCCTCAACAGACACAAGTTGCTTTCAAGATTTTTATCAATAATTCAGCTCGCCCTGCCCTCTGCCTTTGATTTATCACATCTAAAGAGCTGGTGAGAACATTTTGTGAATGATGCGGGCTTAAACCCGACCTCTCTCTTTAAAGTTGTTTCTTTCTGATCTCAGCTTAACACCAACAGCTGGAAAAGGAGACAGTTTTTCATCCCCCTGAACCTGAAACTAATTGTAAAACACAGTGAGTTATAAAATATCTGATCTTAGATTATATCATATTTGTGTGTTTCAGAACATCAAACAAAGTTCTTTGAGTCAGATAGTCAGAATTGGCTGCAGTTCCAAAACCTGGTGTTGGGACCTCACACTGCAAACATGTTCATCTAAACAAGTCTTTCAATCTTATATCAGCCAAAAAGTATTTTTGATCTTATTTTGAGACTGATACATTAAGTAATATATTAGATTATTAATCATGTTAGTCTGGACACTTTTCTTATTTCAAAAAGTGCAATTTTTATAAACACCACAGTGTGTTGATATAATATGATGTTTTGTTTTTTCCTCATCTTCCCTTATGTGGTTTTTAGTTTTTCTGTTTTTAAAGGTAGCACAACTGTGTTTGCTGCATGACCTATTTCACCTGTTCCCCCATGTTTGCCTTGGATGTCTTCTTGAATGGGTTTTTCTTAACTGCCCCCTCCCCCCTTCCCTGAATGTACAGCACCTTGTGAGTTTATTTCTGTGAAAGGCGCTATATAAATAAAACTTTACTTACTTCCTTACTTCCTTAAGTCCTTATTTGTCTTATTCCATTGACAGATTGTTTTAGACTCAAATTAATGATCTGCCAGTGGAATAAAACAATTGCACTTCTTGAAAAAAAAAGAGATTAACAAGTTTAATAATCTTAAAAATTCTGCTAGACTTGCTTAGATAGACAATTTTTGCAGTGCATGACTCAAAAAACACCAAGCACAGAGTCTAGAAAAGACCTACAGAAATAATATTTACTTTAGAAATCATCATCAGTGGCATCATCAGCCTTCACTGATACAAATACATGAAATCAGCTGTGCTGAATGGTAAATGGTGGGTCTACAGGACGTTTACTTTGTTGGGAGCTTTAAAACATTTGCCCTGAAGAGATCTCTGTGAGAACATGACTGTGAAATAGTGATTTTATTGGTAAAATTAGTGGATATTCCTGTCGGACAAATCCTTTATGCTGGTTGTGAAAGCTGTGTAAAAACTGTACCAGTAAGATGAAAATGGCCTTTTTATCAATGCTGTGAGTAATGGTTACTGTGCCAGGTTTATTTTGAAATAATCTGCTAATTATATTGCAAACTGCTGAGGTCATCGTGGTGTCTAAAGTTAAAATTGTTTTTTTTCCTGTTTTTGAAATCGTGAACAGTATAAAACTACAACTAAATTGGCTTTAAATAAAAGAAATTCAACCATCAGATTAGCTGTTCATCCCATTTTGTTGTTTTTTTCAACAGTATTTTTCTTACTTTAGCAGCTCTTAGTGACATTGGGGCAATTCGAATGCTCAGATTCAACCACTAGACTTTGTGTTTTTGAACTTATTTTGACGTTTAAAAATGTTTTCCTTCAAACCTGAGAGAAATCTTGCATTGCTTTTAAAAAAACAAACAAAAAAAATGTTCAAACACGTTTCAAACAGCTTAACCCCCATTAACCTTTTTGACCTGTGCAGTGCTCCTCTGCCACCACTAGTGGGCAGTGCACCTTAAAAAAAAACATTTTAGGCCCAAATGGAGATGAGAGAAGTGTGTGCAAAAGCACTTTCAGCTTCGAATCATCAGGGGAAGCAAATGTGAGCATACTGTGAAGAAATGTGTGAAAAGTCGAGGGTGAGAATGAAGACGCAGACAAGAAACGGCGAAAGCGGCAGAGAGGGCGTTTGAAGAACAGACAATCGCTGCGGGCGTCTGTCAACAAGCAGATATGAAGATCTTTTCCAGATGTTTCGAAGACCAAAGTCACATCTCTGTACGTTTGTTTGATGTTTATGTGACTGTAGGGCAGCGAGCACGTCACATCCACTTTCGTTCACTTTGACACCATCTTTAAAAGTTCCTCCTGCCGTCGTTTGACACTTTTTTGAAAAGGGGACTTTACAGAGCGGATGATCTCACTGTGCGGACCGGGGAAATTTATTTGCATCCTACGTCTTTATTTCACAGGGACGAGTAGAAAACAAATCAAACGAYGTCACATGTAAAATAATGCAACCTCTTGTATTGAATATAGAAGTTTTAGCAGATGGCTACTTTGTAGTTCTGAAAGTTTGACCCTTAATGAAAGTACTCCTTCTGGGTTTGGTGTATGAACTTGTTCCAGCCCTTTGTTATCACCTGACTGGACAGACKTGTCCACGATGGGGGTGTGGAAGGGTTTGGGGCAAAGACTGTGGCGTCTGGGGGTGAAGCGTGAGGCCTTCAGTGGGTGTAATAGCCATAGTAGTCCGGATCGCTGTCTTTCTCGCAGACGTCTCCACCACGCGGGGGCGGGGAGTTTTCGGTGCTGGACGTGTAGGGCGACACCTTCCTCTTCTTGCCGCCCTCGAACAGGCCCGAGTCGGCCGAGTCTACGGATTTCACCGAGGGCGTTTCGAGCCAGGCGTCGTCCGCCGTGTCTTTGGGTTTGTCCTGCAGCGGCGGGGGCTGCAGAGACTCCAGGAGGGCGGGAGGATGCAGCCTGGGGTTGACTGGTGGCGTGGGAGCTGAAGACGAGGARGACGATATGGGTCTAAACCAACCCAGACCAGGGGTAGGTTTGTGAGTCAGGTACTGGGGCGTGGGTCGGCTGGTGCTCCAGCCGGCTGAGGCGGCGCCCGACACGCTGGTTGATGCGAAGGGATGGTCAGAGTAGTAGCCAAGGGCGTGGTGGGCAGACGTCTGCAGGGGGAAAGGCTTGTAGAAACCATTTCCAGAAAAGTCCCCCTCGTAGGAGGRAGGGAAATCAAGCCGGTTCGGCGGCACGCTCTGTTGCGGCGGCAGGTACCAGCGGCTGTGGGGCCCGGGGCTGGAGGACGGGTCTTTGTGCTGCTGGCCCATGGCGATGGACTCGCGGCTGTAGAAGCGGCTCTGAGGCAGGGGGCTCATGTACTGTTCAGAGAGGTAGCTTTGGGGGTAGCAGCTCCCTGCCAACAACTGCTGGCCCTCCGTAGGGGAAGGGGTGAGGCGATCAGAGTCGGGAGGAGCGTAGAGCCTGGGCAGGAGGGAGGAGGAGGAGGAAGAGAAGAGAGTGTGAGAAGAAGAGGAAAAAAAGAAGGTGTTATTTCCTGCCCAAACCTCAAACAACTATCAAACATCTCACAGCCCCTCACACCCTTCCACTGCAGCGTGCTCAGCAGCAGCGCCGTAATTGCATCTATTTTAATAATAAAAAGGCTGACGTGCACTCAGGGTGTCTTGGCGCCAGCAGCGATCCTGTTTCATCATTTAAGCAAAGTTCACACAATGTTCTCCGATCCAGTGCAAAAAGGAGAGGATTTCAAACGTTTTCCAAAGGACTTACGTGTCGTAATTGTCGCGGAAACCTTTGGCGAAGGGGTTGTGGTCTATTTTCAGCTGGGTGATCTGTGTGTGGAACACGGAGAGAATGCAGGAGAGGAAAAAGAGAAGGAGTGAGCAACGACCCATAGAGAAACAAGAGCGCAGGCAGAGAGGAGGTCACTGACTAATAATTAATAACGTGYGATTTCTTCTCATGTTGGAAAGAGTTGATCTTCAGAACTGAAGAGTGGGCGAGCACGCCTGCAGAACCAGACCAGTGTGTCTGTGTGCAGAGGAAGCTTTAGACAAGGACTGTGAGCTTCTCTAAAGACAAAACCTCAGTCAGCTGAGGTGAGGGGACTCTTAGCTGAGCTCAAATTTAGGTCAATGCACTGKTAATAAATGCAACTACAAAATCAAAATCAAAGATTGTTGCGCTAACTACATCTGAGCATCAAAACAAACGATCGGATGATGAAAATAAACGACTCACGTCTGCGTTCTGATAAGCAGTGACAGCGATGAACTGGGTCTCTGGGAAGACAAARGACTGGGATTTAGAGGACAGGAAGGGGTCCTCCGAGCCGTCCTCCTTCACCTCCACGATGTGAAGCCGGGGCTGGTACTTATGGAGCGACTGGAGGACTATCATCTGCAGACACAACCACAAACAAATGTGGCTTTTAAGGATTTTGGTTTTCTTRTAATTTCATATAATCTAACAAAAAACACAAGAAAGTAAAAGAAGACGGGAGCACATTAGAACATTTATACCTTATTAACACACATACAAGCTACTGACAGAGCTAATCAACCTTGTCCAACACAGAATGGTTATAACTCTTAACCATGGTGTATCTGAGTCATATGGGATTAGGGTTGGGCATAATCGTATCGTGTGCAATTAACTGTCAGAAAAGCATTAATCGATTATTTTTTGGCACTTGACAATTAAAACAATTAATGTCACCATGCAGACTGACTGGAGATTTCCCCGGTCAGTCCGCTCGGTGCTCCTCTCCGCTTCAAACGTGACGAATATTTTAAAAAAGTTACATAATTTATCTATCAACACAATTTAAAAATTGAAGTATAGCCCGAAATCTGTGATTTTGACACAATTTGGAACAGATTTTTACGAAGAGAAAAGCTTTCCCACTAAACTGGTCATGTGACCAGGACATAAGGGTGTCCAGGGATTCCAAATTAATCATTTTCGGCTAAATACCACAATTAATCGTGATTAATTTTTTTTGCCAATATTGCCCAACCCTACATGGGATTTTTGTTTGAAACCTCAGCACATGCATATCTTCAGGGAAAGCAACTTTTTATTCAATAATTTCTCTTCCAGAAGCCAAACTTTCAGAATGTAGTAGTTTACGTAATTTGTTCCCAATTTTTTTTGACTAAATCCATGAAAAAAAATAAAAGTTTGTAATGTTTTGGCAACAATARGGTGATTTTTAAAAAGCAATACGAGCTGTAAACATGACATACAGATGATCAGCTGAGAGCGATGATGAATTCTTTTCTTCATTTATTTTTTATGTTTTTATAAACAGCATGCTAAGCTAAGGTGGCTAAGTGCAAGGACGAATAAAAAGACTAAAACTGATTTGAACGAGCTTCAGAAAGTCTGAGGAACTGATCAGGACTTGTTTGAAAGGTGACAAGAAAGCCTTGCTGTTTGCAAAAAAATAAAATAAAATAAAAACGAACGAGCAATGACTCGCGCAGTAAAAAAAGATGAGAGAATAGTTTCTGCCTGCAGTTCTAAYAATTTCAGAAGAAAAATATGTTGGTTCTGAACATCACGTCTGGTTTTTGTGTCTCAGGCAGTTTCCTCCTTGGATCTAAACTCAGAAGGTTTGAATGCAGCTCACCTGAGCCACGTTGTTGGTGCTGCCCTTGTTGTTGGTGAGCTTTAACTTGCTGAACGACACCTCTTGTCTCATCCAGTGAGCTCCTGTGTTGGGAGAGTCAGGGTGCATGTACGTCCTGTTCCCTGGAATCAATAAAACGATGCATCAGCAAAAGATATCCTGAGCACGGGACACCTTAGAGCTGAACTGAAAAAAAAAATGAATTTTTTTTTTTCACTTTGAAAAGAACAAATGKAACACTGGTTTCTGTTTTAATGCATGAAGACTTCCTGGTGTCATTAAAACTGAAATAGTTGCATGAATTAACATTTTCCCAGGCAAAAAGTCAAAATCTCAGATTGTTCACAGCGTTCACCACATAGACCTGCTAACCTTATGTGCACACCACATGAGTGTACTATTAAATCTAATTGAGAAAAGTTGTTTCACCACAGTTTCCACAACTGTAGCACATCATCATTCACCTTTCCACACTTGGCATATGTGTGACAACACCTTACAGTTTCTCTCATTTACAGAAAATTGTCTGTGGTTTGTTTAGCATCAGCTGCACAAAAACAAAAAAGTAAAATAACAACAACAACAACAAAAAAAAAACTAAATGACTGGACTTCTGCTATAAACTCATTTCAGCTGCAGAGAAGAGCTCCATTTTTTTTAACCTACAGTCACAAAACACAAAATTTGGTGATTAAAGTATTTTTTTTTTGTTCTTTCTGAGGTGAAGAAATGATGAATCAACAAGTCAAAGAGACAAAAGTAATAACATGATCTGTTCAGGATACAAAGTGGTTCAAATATTTATCYAAAATATTTCTTTTTTGCAGCCCTAATTTAAAGAAATGATGAGAAGTTGTGTAAAAAAAATAAAATAAAACAGATTGCTGTTTACAAACCTCAAAACCCAACAAATATTTAATTCACAATGAAACCAAGTAAACATTTTAAATGTTTAATTCAAAATGCTATTTTTTTTGTGAAAATGCTAAATTTTTCAGTTTTATAGACATTGCAATAAAAACAGGTCTGGTTCTATCACTGCATGGACCCAGTACACGGGTCACGGTCTGTAAACACAGTCCACTAATGCTGATTAAAGCTCTATCATGCAAAGACGACACGTGAACGCAATCCAAAAATGCTGCCGTCTTCTCTGAACCCAAGAGGAAAGCTGTTCTGTAGTCAAATGAATCAAAATTTAAAATTTTATTTTAAAAAACCACGGATGACACGTCCTTTGYACTAAAACCTGCCTCTCTGATGGTATAGGGGTGCATTCCTGCYTCAGGCATGAGCAGTTTACACATCTGGATCTGCACCATCAATGCAGAGAATTATCTACCGGTCTTTAGAACATCTGGTCTCATTCAGCTGGTGTCTTTTTTCAGGGAGGGTCTTGCATATTTCAGCAAGACATTRTTAAACCACAAACTGCATCCATTACAACAACACATGACCTGAAGTCCAGACCGGTCCAGGTTCTGAGCTGAATTCCAGATAATCCAGATAAGAAAACAACAACATGATGCATTTTTAAAAASCAGAACATTAAGTTCAATCTGTGAACAAAACTGTAACAAATATAAATTTGAAATAAATTTCAAAATAATTAAAAAAATCAGGGGTCTGCAACCTGCGGCTCTAGGGCCACATGTGGGTCTTTGGTCCCTCTGCAGTGGTTCTTTGAAAATRTGACCAAACATAACAGAATAAATAGTTTTTGGTCTTTATACCCGAAACAGAAATCAATTTTCTATGCAAATATGTGATCAGTAATACAAAAAGTAAAACATGTTAGCCTGTTTTTACTTAAATAATACAACTTATTTTCCTCAAATCCATCAGAGTTACCTTTAAATCATTTGAAGACTACATAATAAGAAGAATTAGAAAAAAATACCTGAATAATTCAGTTGTACTACTTTTTATAAAATTTGGTATAAACTATATACTATTTTTCTTGTTTACATGAATATGTTTTTAATTTGTCCTTA